AGATAAATGTTTGATAAATCAAAGAAGCTCGTTTGTGGTGACATCATCTGAAAATGTGACAACGTCAGCAACAATGGGGCGTTTCCTTCTGCTGCTGCCACCCCTCCTGTCCTCTCTGCGCTGCCATCAGTCACACAGCGGAGCCTCAGGTAAACGTTCCACCAGCAGCACTCTAACCAAACCCAATGACATCAACTCGTATCTCCAAAAGTTGATTCTGTTCATCTGGACGTAGCGTTTAGTGGGAGAAACGTTTCGTCACATCCAGGTGACGTCTTCAGTCTCAGCTGACTGCAGGTTTCAATCTTATAAACAGGACATTTGCATAATGACTGAAACCAGCCCACTGAAGGAACAATGGGCTGGTAGGTCAGTTCCTTAATCATAATTATGCAAATTCTCATGACCCTTGATCAACAACCACTGATCAACAACCACTGATCAGTGGGTCAGTGGGCTTTGATTGGTTGTCTCTCTTTAATATTGCAGAGTCTTTGCCTGTTTTTTCTTTTTTAAAAACAGTTTCTACACAAAATAATAATAAAATTGACTTGATCCCCGTTGTGTCTGTCTCCCCTCCACAGGTCCCTTCAGCCTCTTCCCCTGTACTCTGCAGAGGCAGACTGTTAGTTTGGTGCTGGCCTCTGTGCAGCTGCCTACTGTATGGGTGATGTCCAAGGCACACCAGTTCCTCTCCTCCTGGAGTCTCAATAAGTTCCTGCTTATTACACAGGGGGACCTCACAGTAGGTTACTCATATATTACAACCAGAACACTTGTTCTGTAGAGCTGAGTGATCAGAGGCTGTTTCATAAACACGATGCAGTGAACTCGGATCATATTCACACCACTGTGTACTAACACTGCAGTATAAACAATGCAAAGCGTGATGTACTGTGAGCTTCTAATGGCTGTCTTTGGTGCTGTACTTATTTGTGGCCCAAAGTTCATTTCATTTATTTCACTTTGCTTCATATTTATGTATTAAGGATTTCATACGTTTCGAATAAAAAAAACAAATTAGTTTGAGCAGTGGTGCCAAAACGTTTGGATACAGTTCATCTTTAATCAGGTTCATCTTTAAGCTCAGTGTCAGTTTAAATGTGTTTTTTGTGTCTGCAGGTGATGAGGGAGTCATTCGAGGCGATGGTGCATCAGACCAAATCACTAGTGATGAATTCACACGGTGACCAGCAGTCTGCTCTACACACCCACAGCCAGCTCCTCCTGCAGCAGCAGCTGGAAACGCTGGAGCGTGCTCGGTCTGCTCTGCAGGTGAGCTGTCTGCTTTCTCCTCACAGCCACGTCAGAAAGCTTCACTGCTGCTGTGCAGACGGGTGAACTGTGTGTTTAGTGTTGCTGAGGGTCATATACCAGGACTACAGAGCCACACACGACTCCCTAACCACATCTAACCAGTAATGTTGATGTCGTCACTGTCCGTCAGACCTTCTCTTCTGTGATGCTGAGGACATTCTCCAGTGACTGCAAGCAGAGGTCAGGAGAGATCTTTG